AGGTCTCAACCACCGGTGGTGACACCGGGTTCTTCAGCGCAGTGAAGTGTTTATGGTCTCAACCTGGTCAAAGCAGTTCAAAATACATACATAGACTCACACAGAGATCCATAGACTCACACAGAGATCCATAGACTCACACAGAGACACATAGACTCACACAGAGATCCATTGACTCACACAGAGACACATAGACTCACACAGAGATCCATAGACTCGCGTAGAGACACATAGACTCACACAGAGATCCATAGACTCGCGTAGAGACACATAGACTCACACAGAGATCCATAGACTCGCGTAGAGACACATAGACTCACACAGAGATCCATAGACTCACGTAGAGACACATAGACTCACACAGAGATCCATAGACTCGCGTAAAGACACATAGACTCACACAGAGATCCATAGACTCACGTAGAGACACATAGACTCACACAGAGATCCATAGACTCACATAGACATCCAAAGACTCACACAGAGACCCAGACTCACAAAAAAACACTCACACAGAGATCCATAGACTCACACAGAGATCCACAGACTCACATAGAGATCCAAAGACTCACATAGAGATCCACAGACTCACACAGAGAGATCCACAGACTCACACACAGACCCAGACTCACAAAAAAACACTCACACAGAGATCCATAGACTCACACAGAGATCTACAGACTCACATAGAGAGATCCACAGACTCACACAGAGACCCAGACTCACATAGAGAGATCCACAGACTCACATAGAGAGATCCACAGACTCACATAGAGAGATCCACAGACTCACAGAGGCCCATTTCCTTAGAACTGCTATTTTGTGTTTTAGTTTGTTGTCCTTCCCCTGCAACTCTGATTAGCACGGTTGACTACGTACGGTGCGAAAGATGCTCAACATACATACGTAGTACATACATAGACTCACGCAGAGATCCATAGACACCAATGGCTGCCCAAAAAAAGAAGGAAAAAAACCCTGTCACATCAAATGTCGTTTTTCACTTCACTAAAAGATAAAGGCACAGCCCTGCAACTGACGGCTTGTGCTCCTTCTGGCAGAAGCTCCTCCATGAGAGGAAGCTCTAGGGAGCTCATATAAAGATTTTCACTTCACTTGGCCGAATTGTAGCTCTGAAAAGCGAACATTTTTACGGTTTGACTCCCGTGCCAAACGTATCCTATAGCCGTCCAAATCGTGCGGCGGCGCGAGCACCGACACTGACATAGAAAAGAAAACACAAAATATAAAACGATCGCCAAAACTTCAAATCGTGGCAGCACCTCCACCAACACGGACGCGGCGCAGCGGACTGGAGCGTCTAAGAACCAGAATCTTTATCTTTATTTAGATGTCCGGTTCACATTCGTAGCTGTCGCCGCAGCAACCGCAGCTGACGGGTCACACGCGCACGGGTGGCGGTGTGTTTTTGGCTAAACGGACGGACGAACCGCGACCGCGTGTGTTTTGTGCTGCTGCACGACTCCCCGAAGTCTCTCCTGGGTAGTGCCGTGCACTGTAACCCGAAAACGCACCGGGGAGCTCAACGGCGGCCGTGCGCTCGTAGCTTGGTCGTGAAGAGGAGGAGGGGGGGGGGAGCGGCAAGGGAACGATGGCACCTGCTCCCCCCCACCCCGCACGACGGAGCCGATGGCTCAAGCAGCTGCGAGCGGCCGGGCGGGCGCGGTGCGGTCGGAGGAAGAAATCAAGCGAGAGGGGTAGGGACCCAGGCACACTCACGTGGCACCCGGACTCACAGCTTACATTCACAAATGGTCGTCAACGTGACAAGCCGATGAACATAAACAAGGCAGGCAATTAATCGCTCTCCATCCCCTCGCTGCCGCTCCACCCTCTCCCTGCGTTTCTGCAGGGAGAGATACGCAACTATTTTCCCCTGTCCGGATGTAAACGGTCAACCTCACTCGCATTTAATCCACTGAAAAATGTTCGAGGCCCTCAAAATAATGTACGCTTGGTGGGGGCTCCCACTGGGCCAGCAACATCGCTGTAAGGAGTAGGGGGGGGGTCACCGCTCAATCGCTCGCCCACTTCCCCCCCCCCACCCGCCCACTCGCCCACTCGCCCATCCTTCCTCGTTCGTTCGCTCGCCCGCCCCGACGTTAACCTGCCGCAGGGGGGAACTTTAGGCTAAAGGCGGCGGAGGCGGCTAAGATTTATGGGGCCGCTTTAAAAGCCCTTCCCGGACGACGCTTCCCATGAAGTGCCCTTTACGACGACGGGGCCACCGGGGGGACCGTGCCGGCGGTCGGACCGGCGGGGGAAGGAATAAAACAGAAGCTGTTGTCGGTGTGGCGGTCGGTTGGAGAGAAGGAGGGAGAGAGGGCGAGCGAGCGAGCGAGCTGGTGGTGTGCCCGGGAGCAATAGGGCTGTCGTGAGGAAAAGCCGGCTGTTTTCATTAAAATTTGTGTATTTTTTTTATCATCTCGGTTGTGCAATCGGAGTTGTGGGGGCAGCAGCTGGGGCCGGATGTCGCGAGTTGATTTTGTTGAACCAGGTGAGAGAACTCCACATGACCAGGATGAGTTTCATGTGCAAGAGTGAGATGGAGGTCACCAAACATGACACAGAATAAAAAAGGCAACTGATATCATTTTTAAGATAACTGCGTCGGTAATTATAAAATCATGGTTGTGAAAATTGTATCAACGTTCCAGAAGGGCTGAATGGTCTGCTTACCATAATAGGCTGGTTACCGACGCAATTATCTTCAAAATGATAATGTGCCGAGGGGCATCTCCTTAATTAGAGGCTGTTTTCGTGTTTAGCTACATCAGAGAAGCTGTGACATTTAGACATCACACACTCAGAGATCCATAAACTCGCAAATAAACCCATAGACTCACTGACTCGTGCAAAAACCAGAGACACAAACAGAGACCCATAGACTCACATAGAAATCAATAGACTCACACAGAGTTTCATAGACTTACATATAGACATATAGACTCACATGGAGACCAACAAGCTTACAAAGGTGCCTATAGACTCAAAGCTGCCTTTGTCTACGCAATAATGAAAACTGTAGCTGTACAGCATCTTGAAATGTGGTGACATTTAGACGCAGCTATAGAAATCCAAATTGTATTGTTCTGTGAGAGAAATAAATGTCCATCGGAAACTCACACAGCTTGAAGTGAACCACCTCGTGTATGAGATTGGCCGAGAAAGATGAGCTTACGACATTAACTGTGGGGTCATCTTGAGTATCCTCTTATGCACGCGAGATTAAACGCTTAAATATAAATTATTACTTTTTTTTTATTGCCACTTAAAATTAAATATATTTGATATGCCCTGCAAAAAGTGTCGCATATCACCGAATCCAACGTTTGTAATTCTCAGAAAATATAAACAAATCTAGTGACGAAGCAATCCTGGTGCAATTGGGGTTTTTTTGGCAGGCTTTGCTGAGCAGGCCAATCACTTCAGGTGCAAGCTTCGTCACTCGGAGCTGAAACCCGGTCCTCAGCGGTGCCGGCTCAGCCCTGGACACGGCCATTATGAACCCACCAAGTCGCCCGGTCACCCCTGGTGTCACCGAGGTGCACCCAGCTTCTCCAGATGTACTTCGTCGTTTCTTTATTTTGCCCCACAACTTGTTTAGCCTCGCCCGAGTCTCATGACTTTTATTCAAGAGGATCCTGCCGAGTGGCGAGATGTTAACTACCTCGCCTGGTATACAGGAGGTGGTGAATTCGATCCCAACCCTGACGCCTGCTGTATATTTGGAGTTTCCGCGTCTCTCTTCCCTGCAGTCGTGTGGATTTTTCTCCGGGTTTTCCCTCCACATTTAGAATCAACATCCACGTGTTTAGAGTATTTCATTAGTATACATTTCCACGTGATAATCCACTAAATTGCGCTATCATTTGTGGCCAGGTCGCTTCTGAAAAATATCTATATAGCTCAGTGGGCATCACCTGGTAAAATAAATAAAGTTTAGTTTAATTTTAGAGTTCTAGCCAGGTTTACTAAATATTTGATAATTTAGGTTAAATATTCGCAGTGGACGGGGTTGGGATGATTGCGATGTAGATTCCAACCTAGATAAATTTGTAGCCTAACTTTGCTGAATTTGGACGACGACGCCGGCACACAATGGCCTCCCATCGCACGTGACGCCACGGGGTCTGTGACGTCCACTGCGAAGCGGACGGCGTGTGGCAGCAGCATGGCGAACTGCACACACGACCGCAGTGTCAACCAGGGGCGGCCGCTGGATTTGAACCGCGAGTGAACCTCTGCGACAAGAACGAGCTGCAGGCCGAGCCACTGCCCCACAGTGCTCACGGACACGGGGGTGGGAGCGGAGGGCGGGGGGGGCACATAAACCGTCCAGATTCGAAAACACCACCAGTGCGGCGCCTCTTGTCACGTGCCACGGTCGGTAGAGCGCATGGCTCGCAAATCCCCGTCAGGGTTCGATTCAGAGTTCTCTCTCTCCCCGAGGTCAACGTCGGGAGGTCGTCGCAGCTCCCACACCTCACCGTCGCATCCGTTCACCTGCTAGATCCTGCAGCTGCTTGACAATCGACCCCTGACCTCAAGTATCACCACCTCTTGGTCCCCAACCCTTGAGTACTGTGACCCCCTTATCCACGGGAACATTCAAGCCAAGCCAGCTCAGGGAACCTCACGGGGTACGAGTGGCTGACCACTGGCGATTTGCTGCGCGATGCCGAGCCGAGAATAAACGCTGAAATTTCGCTCGGGCGGCCAAGCAGGGCCAAGGACGGGACCGACCGACAGGTTTCATCGCGCGCGAGATTAGTCGGTACGCCGCGAGGTGTCGGTGTCGCCTCGTCATTCCCACGCGTGTCGTCGGCGGAACGGCTCGATATCCGCAGTGGAAAAACAACCGGGCGCGTCCTGAGCCACTGCCGGTCGGGGCTTTGCCCGGCCGACGTCACAGCTCGGTTGCGCCAGTGGAAAAAGAGGTAAATAGAGTCGTGGGATTTGTGGGCGATGGAACTCACGGACGTGCCCACGGTGTCGAGGCCGTCGCAGCTCAGCCGCTCCCGCGACGGAATCTTCCACAACGGGTGCAGCTCGCTCGCCATGTCCTCCGCCAGCCGGCTCGGAGCCCGCCTCACCCGGCTGCGCAGGGGTCAAAGGAGGTCGCCCGTTGGGGAGGGGGGGGGGCAAAGGGCAACCAAGAAGTCGGTGGAAGGCAGGAGAGGACACGGGGTGGTGGGGGTTGTGTAGGAGAGGTGGCAGAGGAGATAAAGACAACGTTGTCAAGAGTTTGTTGAAAAGACGAGCATCATCATCTGTTGAAAATGTCACCGTATTAATATGATCGGGTTGGATTTTCTGCCGATTGAGGTAGCAAACACGGCGGAGAAATCCGAGCGAGCCAAGTGGCCCGATCGGGTAACGGCACTTCACGGACAGAAGCCAACCCCTTAGGACCGCCGCTCGACAATGAGGGCAGAGGTCCTAATAAGAAGACGAACACCCAAAAAATGCCGAGCCGGAGATTACTCCTCATATTGGCACCCGACGCCGTATCCAGAGCGCCGCTCTCCCTCGCCATCTCATTTGTGGTGAGAGGCCACGAGCCTGGAGATATCAGCGGCTGCTTCTGAGCCGAGTAAACGTAACGAATCTTAGTGGGGGACAAACAAAGTAACAATTGTAGCCAATGCCTTTGTTTATCAAGGAAAGCCTCACTGAGTCTCAGAGAAAGTACAAGGACAACGTGGGAGTTTACTGCACTGGAATCCTGCCCCTCAGATGCAAATCGCTGGACAAATATTTTCCGTGTTACAAACCAGACGTTATCGTTACCCGCCACACATCACCCTGCAAGCAGCAGCAGAAGCCTACAGCAACCGCGTTTTACGCACGCCGGTCAGCCATCCAACTACTATCCACACTCAAACGTCCTTTATGGTTGTGCTATGAATTAAAATGACATTGTAAAGAAATGAAATTTGATTATTTATCCAGGAAAGCCAACCACATTGGTTTTTATTTTAAGATTTTTTTTTGTTTCCGCCAATTTCTGAGTTGTTCATACAAGTGGGGAGGATACCAAAGCACCCGGAGAAAACCCACGCCTTGCGCGAAGGGGCAACGCTCTATCCCCATACAGATGGAAACACTCACTGTACCGCCTTCTTCCCTTTGTCAGGCACACAGGCACGGTGTTATTGACGAGGCGTGTTGGCCTTTCGTTCAGTTGTTCAGCTTAGCATGGGATCTGTCCGGTGAGATCAGAGGCACTTTGGGTGATTGCATCATCGAAGGAATTTTGGATGAATAAAACACAGGGTTACGATCGCTATTGTTACTCATAATATCGGGTTTTTTTGGGTAAGATCGTGTAAATATGAAAGTGTTGTTAAACTCGCCACCGCCTGACGCAGCCGGTTAGTAAGGTTTGCCACGTAAACAGAACGTGCCAATTGGTGACCAGTACAGCCCACCGGTGTGTTGGACATCAAATTGTATAGCAAATCCAACACACTGGTTAGTGCTGTACTTGTAACGAATTGGCACGTTTTGTTAATTTAACAAAACTTACTAATTGTCTGTGTCGGGTGGTGGCGGGTTTAATGACACATTTATATTTATGCGATCTAACCCAAAAAACCTATATTAAGGATGATATTGGTTGCGAAAGCCTATGTGTTAAACGTTATTATTATCATTATTGAATTGATCACTAAAAGCATGCGATTTTATTTCCATCATTGTGTTAATCCTCCGCACATTGTTTTCCTCCCACCAGATCTGTTACTCAACCTCAAAATAAATCACTATATTTTGTGGCGTCACAGCTTTGAACACCTCCGTTTGTAGGTCAGCGTTGGCGTATTTTTCTGGGCCCCGATTCAGCGTTTGATAAGATTACGCGGATGCTTACAAACCTTGCAATTTCTGGATTTGTGATATTTGCATATCTTACCCACGACCGCATGTCCCTACCCCAACAGAGCAAAGCCAGAAAAAAAAACCCGATAATCATGAGATGCGGTCGCAAATAAACAACCATTTTAATCCACATTGCAGTGTATTGACCCACGTAGAGAACCAGAGACTCGCACAGATATCCATCTGCTTAGAAAGAGACCCATAGACACAACGTACAGACCCAAAGTCACACAAAGATACGTAGAATCACACAGAAAATCATACACTCACGCAGAAACCCATAGACACAACGTACAGACCCACAGACTCGCACAGAATATCAGACTAACAAAGAGATCCACAGACTCCTGTAGAGATGTACAGTATACTCAATAATAGCGACCGATAGACACGTACAGAGCACCACAGACTCACACAGAGATCCATGAAATCACATAGAGGCCCATAGATACACATACATACCAATAGACTTAAATAAGGCAGAATAGGCACACATCGAGACCCATAGAATTACATGAAGCACAACGACTGCCCCTCTGTATCAAATTAATAAGCCCGCTGTGTCTGGACAGTGTTTGTTATGCGGTCACATTGAGACGCTGTATAAATACAAAACATTGTACCATGTTGACTCACACAAGAGACCACTGGACTGACTTATCCCATATGCCCAAAGACAGACTCATAAAACTACGCAGAGACGCGATGACTCCATCTGTCTATGAAATTAACACACCCACTGCTCCTGTCCACTGTCTTCAGATGCGGTCACATTTGCACACCGTTTTATAAGTCCACACATTGCACTCCACTGTGTGTTTAATAACGTCTAGTTTCATATCACCTCGTCGCCCGTGCAAAGTGCATCTCACAATCGCTGAGGAAGCACAGACGGTGCACCCACGCAGTGAGCCGGCGTGACCAACAATCCTCCAAGCTCTGCAGTCCTCTACTTATACTAAGACGTTTTCAGCCAATTCATGAGAGTTTAATCACGTGGGAGGAAACCGGAGCACCTGGCGAAAACCAACACGTGCAAGGGGACAACGCTCTATCCCATGCAGAAGGGACAGACAATATTAGTTGGCACTTTGCTGGCCTGCCTTCTCCTGGCGAGCCAGGGTAGAGCGCCTCCTCGACGCCCACCGAAAGGGAGTTTCTCAACCTTTGCACGATCTGCCAACCCTCGCTGCCTCAACAGTTGCTGGATGACAGGCCACCACCACCGCCCGGCTCAGCGTGGCTCAGAGCGCGCCGACCGCTGCGCCACCACTCCCCACTCCGCAGCACGGACCGCCCCCCCGTCAGAAACACCATCTACCGCCTTGCGGGTGAGCGGCCTCACACTTCGTTGCTCCATCTCCGCACGATCCACCAATCCCCGGTCTTGCCGAGCGATGGGAGGGCAGAAAACCCCCCCGGGAGAGACACACGCACATAGGTGCGCGCGAGCTCGGATCTCCTCCGCACGCGCCATTCAAGATGGGGGTCAGCACAAGCTGTCGCACAACAACGGCGGCATGTCTCGTCTTATCGCGCGTACGTGGGTGCCGCCCCCTCTTGTCAATCCCAATTCACTGCTGGATGAGGGCCTCTCCACACCGTGTGGGTCGTGGGGGTTGTGCTGATTAGCGTCCGAGCTGCAGCACCACCAACAACACCATCACCACGTTCAATAGTGTCCCAGACAGTGCGAGTCATTGATGAATATCAAAATGTAAAAAAAATCTTCTTTGTGATTATATATATTGTGCATTTTTAAATATATGCAATTGTTTGTTGTTATTGTTGTTGTTAACGTGACAAGTCAAGTCTGTGTTCTACAGTTGCCTGGGTGAAAGTGGTGCTGCTCTTTCCTTACCCAATCCTGGCCCAGCTGCTTCAATAACTCAACAAACACCGCTGCCACCACCACCGTCAAAACCATCACCGTTGCCACCATCACCATACCCCATAATTTAAGTAAATCAATGGGCTCGGGGAGGCCCGGTGGCTTTGGGAGCAACATCCAAGTCAGAGACACGAAGCGAGCGACAGTGACACAGACTGCGTTCGAATCCAGGGTTGAGCCAGACCATGAATCAAATGGGGTTCTCAAGAGTGTAATGTGGCGGAAGGGACGGTGGTGACGACGATGATTGATGATAGATGATTAGTCTGGTGCGAGGTTACAATGATTGTGATGATGTTTAATTTGATTACGATGTTGAACCGCCAGGTAGGATGACTGACGATGATTGCGATTGACATTAAAACCAACTCACTCGCAAGCCCGCCGGCCCGCCCGCACGAACGTCGCCACTCCACGATCTTTGACACCGCATCAGCGCTATCGATTACACAATTACCGCTCTTATCTCCGCGCGGCCCGGCAGCCTCAAGGTCACCATTAGCGCCGGCCATTATGGATCAATGCCGGCCCCTCCCTCCACCTCCCTCTCTTCCCCAAGATCTGCGGTGAGCTCACAGGAGGGACGTTAGCGCCACGCGGCACTCGGGGAGGAGAGGGGGCGGCTCGTCACAGCGTTCCCACGGGGACCAACGCCGCAGCGGTCCATCTGTGCCGAGGTGGTTGCCCCCGGTTTCATGCTAGCGGTGGGCACCCGTGATGTTCGGCGTGTTATTTATGTAGCCCTCGGATTACATTCTTCAGACGCGATGCGTTACGAAACTGTGCTTGCGCTGATGTTGGCCGTGGCTGAAACGTCGAATGCAGTAAACCCTTTCCCCCGTTCCGAGATGTCCGCAGGTTGCAGGGTGGGTGGTCATCGTCCCGCTCGCTGCCGAATCTCGGAACGCGTAATCGGCGGCTCGGCGTTAATTTTACGAAGAGAGGCCTAGTAGCAGCGCCGCCGTCCGTAAAGACGTTGCACTCGCCAAAGAGACCTGCAGCGACGCGATCGCACACTCGCTGAGAGCTGGCGCCAAACTGTGCCACACGCCCTCCCGCATGGCCTTTTACTTCCGATTTCATTTGTAATCGGAAGAAAAACAGACCAAGTACACGTACGTCGTTGGAACGGGAAAAGATTAAGCTGGATTCGCAGTTCAGCGAGCTAACCACCATGCCACCGATCCCTTCATTGTTGTCATCACCGTCATCATCACCACCATCATCGAACGTGATCAATCCACTGCTGGCTGAAGGCCTCCCCAAGACGTCGCCATCGCCCACGGTCCAACAATGTTAGCAATTCGCCGAGCACCTGCATGAGCCGGCGACCTCTGGATCACAGGTCCGGCGTGCGGATCGTCACGACCCGCGCGCGTGCGAGCGCTTGAGTATGCGGGGGGGGGGGGGGGGCGCTCGTGAGCACAATCGGCGGACTTTCATCGACCTGAGGGATCGACACACGGGTCGCTGCTCACCAGGCGGAGTCTTCGCGACTGAAGGGGAGGGACACGGCGGCTGGGCCGGCCTCCATGGCGAGACGGCGCGCTGCGGCTCACGGCGCCAGCTGCACGCATTGAGACACACGGAGACGCACGGACGCACAGACGCAAGGACAGACGTGCATTAGATCAGGTTTTCGTGCTCAAGCAACCTCCGGATATTGAGGTCACTGTCGTATTCCACCACACTGCCGCCTATTCCTTGCCAAACATGGGCACAGCTACAAGGATCAATACAAAGATAAAGGTCACCCGCACAGACATCTTGACCGTTGGGGCAAGTGCCGGTCTAGCAAGCACCTATGAAGGCCGTCACGGCGTACGAGGAAGTGGATTTGGCAGCAGCTCGCCCAATGTTTACGCACGGCACCGGGGACGACTCCCATGTCTGTGTCGAACTTCTTTCGTGCCGTACGTCGCCGACCGCGCGAAACGCAGGTGCGGGATTAAAATCACACGTGATCGTATTAGAATCACACCGTTGCTCGTACTCGAATCACCCAACGGGAGGGCCAGGACCGGGCTTCAGATAATAGCCACTGACATGAGCCTTGGCCGGGAATTGACCTCGGCTCTCCGGGGGTCGTAGTGCACGCAGAGACGCACGCAAAAAACCGCACAGACGCGCGCGCACGTGCCCACCGTCACTCGCGCAGCAGCCGTTCCACAAACTCTGGGCGGTGGTGACGTGACAGCAGTGTGCCCGTGACAGGCTAGGTTCACGCTTAAAGCAACATACAGATAGTGATAGGTTTTTACCCTTTCAACTGGTACAAAAACTGACACCTTTATACAAGGCATCATGTTTGCAATAACCACAACACAAGCAGTCAAAATGCAAACAAAAAGAAACAACTCTGATAATGATAATGATATGCACCGTCCTTGAATTTGATTGGTCCACACCCGAGACAGCTTTTCTTAGAGCCTAATCTCCATTGGTGTTGGACCAGATGACGCCAAAAGGCATACTTTTGACACCATTATGATGCCTTGTATAAAGGTGTCAGTTTTTGTACCAGTTGAAAGTGTAAAAACCTATCACTATATTTTGCCACTGGTAAAGGGGGTCTCATAGTGTAAACAACATACGGATGTCGTGAACGCTCACTTGGATAAGGGCAGTGCGTGTAACAATCGCAAACGCACCACGTGCACACTCACACAAAGAATGTTGTTTGACAAACACACTCCCCCCCACTCTCTCAACCACGCGCCTTACAAACTGTACAGGCAAATGCCGTTCGCGAGCGCCTATTAAGGCTGGCACAGCAATGCAGCTAGTGACCCTCGCCTGATAGCCCAGCACCATGTACATCTAATATTTCAGGCTGAGTCTACCTAGAAGAGCACGAGGGCCGATTCCATTTGACCACTTTGCGACGTGCATCACGGCCATGAATTGAACCTAGGTGATGGACATTGCAAGCACAGGGAGACAAGGGGGGCGATATAACAATTTAATTTTATAGAGCGTCATTCGTGCAATTGCATCCCACGACGCTGCACGTCAACTAGCCAATCCCTTAACACAGATAATACAAGAACAAAACTCCACTCTGTTGAACTTCTTTCGCACCGCACGTAGCCAACCGTAGTTATCGGCTTGACAAAATGACAAAACCATTAAAGTAAAAACAAGCAGAGCAATGAAGCAAATAGAAATCTGCGCAAAAACAAGCAAACAGGAACCGGGGCAAAAACAACTGCGTGCTAAGATGTGTATTTCCGCAGTTCAGCCATCATCATGATGAGCAAATGTTGTTGCCTTAATGGAGAAAAACTCAAAAAACATCATGGATTTTGTGGGTGTCTCTTAGGTCCAAACACGTTGAGTCTCGAGGTCAGATCTGAACAGATGGAGGATGTCTCTTAGCCATCATATCTCGTGGCGCTGCGGGTGTTGGCACCCCCACGACACGCACAGCGGTGGTCGCGCCACGGCAGTGATGAGCTCGCTCACAACGCAGGGGTGCGAAAGTGACGCCACCGCCGGTCAGCAGAAGCCACCAACAAACACGAACACACACACGCACCGGGACCGCTCCTCTACCCCCCTCTCTTTCCCTCTACTCCATTCAAACGTTGCCTTTGCGAAGACCGACCCCGCCCCTCCGCCCCCCCCGTACGTAAATTCTAAACGTTAGCACAACGGCCGCGCCGCATCCACCGCCGCTGCACCGGTCGTTGTCAGCGGCGGTGGCATAAAGGAGACCATTGTGGTCCCCTCGGCACTCACAAAGAGCGCATTGAGGAGGAGGGAGCGCGCACGCGGTGGAGGGAGAGCGCGGGGTGGGGAGCGCGCGGTGGAGGGAGAGCGGTGGGGAGAGCGGTGGAGGGAGCGCACGCGGGTGGGGAGAGAACGCGGTGGAGGGAGAGCGCGCGGTGGGATGAGCACGTGGTGGGGAGAGCGCGCGGTGGAGGGAGAAAGCACGCGGTGGAGAGAGCGTGGTGGAGGGAGCGCACGGTGGGATGAGCATGCGGTGGAGAGAGCGCACGTGGTGGGATGAGCACACGCGGAGCGCCGTTGGGTGTGGGCTCTCGATGCGCATCAACTCGCTTCGTGAATAAACTGGCGCGGGGGGTGGGTACAGAACGACGAGTTACTCCCGACAAACGAACTCGGGGGGCTGACGACGAGAGACGAACCCCGACTCCGGAGTGGAGTCTTGGAGAAGGGAACAGAAGCAGAGGAAGGGAGCGGAAGGAGCAGCAGCGAGGCGACATCACAGAGATTAGAGGACAAGGAGGGACTGGAAGAGGATGACGGGGGGGGGGGCCTTTGCCTAGGAAGTCAAAGGCTGATGACAACAACAACACCGTTGCCTCCGACCAGGGCTTCATTTCTCATTGAACCATTTCTGGGTCGCTGGTGGTTTGAATTGATGTTTGGTGAGTTTAGTGCTGGTTTGGTGAGTCTGTGTGGTGAGTTTAGTGTTGGTGAGTCTGTGTGGTGAGTTTAGTGTTGGTGAGTCTGTGTGGTGAGTTTAGTGCTGGTGTTGGTGAGTCTGTGTGGTGAGTTTAGTGATGGTGTTGGTGAGTCTGCGTGGTGAGTTTAGTGGTGGTGTTGGTGAGTCTGTGTGGTGTATTTCTTGTTGTGCTATGCGTTGTTTGGTTCCTGACGAAGCTCCGTAGGGCAAAACGTCGGACATCATGCCGGGCAACACATGGCATCAGCAAGCTATTGTGGAGCTCGGTTTTGCGGTTTTGTCATTTTCTGATCAAGCAAGCCACGTGTATGGCCGGACGGATGGACGGACACGGGCCAAGGTACCAGTGGTCAAGGGGGCTGTCTCTGACAATTCTGAGTACCGTGGGTTTAAACTTGCAAGTTTATTTTGTGCCATCAGCGTGAGAACTCGAGACACCGGGATGAGTCGCATTTGCAAGAGTGACCCGGGACATTAGCCTGCTAGGAGGGGGCAATGATGTGCGTGTACAACCCCAATTTGCGTAACTTGCTGGCAATGTTGGTATTTGGCAAATTTAGACCCTGATGCCGGCACAAAGTGGCCAACTCTTGAGAATGACGTCAGGGGGATCTTGAACATCCACCGAGTGAAGCAGATGGCTTGTAGCAGAGTATTATTAATACACACCGCAGTATTAACCAGGGCGGCCGATGGATTCCAACCGTGAACCTCTGCAACGAGCAACACACCCGGGCTACCGCTGTGCCGCATCACCGTCCCAGGCATGACAAGCTATCCCCCTACCCAGCGGGCAATTCTGTGTCACAAGATCGGGAACAGTGGCATCTTTGTCCATCACTCTCTCCCTCCCTCCCTCGCCCTCCAACAACAAAAACAAAACACTTCCACCAGATATCATCTTCCACTTTCCGTCAACACCTCCCCTGCATCGGCGTCACTGTGGTAAAGAGGTATTGGAGAAGCCATGAAAAAGCCTTCGTGTCTGGTGGCATCGCAAAGCAAAAAAAAACGATTCAATTATTCTCCAAAACTGGCTGCGGCTCAGAGATGGGCGCACCACGTGAGCACGGGCGAGTATCGCAAGGATCCTGGGTTCGAATCGGGGTTGTAGCTGCGCGACTGATCAGTGAGATGAGGATCTTAGCTCGGTCGCTAATGACTGCACAGAAGCACCGCCACTCTCCATTTGTTTATGCCCTTAATTTGGATCAATTCCAGCTATGATCATTCAAACATCGGCTTGCGCTGTCACGCAGTGAACATTAACTGTCGTATGCAAAGCGGGTGGGGAAACTGCTGCCCCCTCTCTACCGTGTGAGGTCACTTGAAGGGGCCTGAGAGGTAGCTCAACAATATCCACTTCCGTGGGCCGCCGTTCTCGAAGGGCTGCACTGCTCCCACGGGAGATGCACGACGCGTCGCCCGTAGCGCAAGAGAAACGGGGACACACGAACAAATCACGCAAATGTTTTCAAGGAGACAACGACCGAAAATAATTATCGACGGTATTTCGAGTCTCAACCGAACGCGCTCAACAGCGTGCCACTCGCCCACCAACGCCGCACGACCAGAGCTGCTCGCAAACAAACCACCCCCGAGGGTGACCGGCGACTTGACGGCTAAGGTCCACTTCACGCGCCTCTTCCACCTGGCTTGCCTCCTGCTCCTCCGATAGACGGCGGCGTAAACTTTTAAAACGAAAATGTCAAGGAAAGTAAAAAGAGGAAGGAGCCTCGCGGCGCGATCGCGAACAACCTACTTTCACTTTGATGGTATCCGGCAGTGGAATGATATCAACGCTGCCTCGCATGCGATGGCACGCGAGAGATAATTCCTTTTAAAAACAATTTGGAATAAAAAAAAACCCACGGCTCTCGAATGTTTTTTTTTCTCGCGATGAGTTGTTCGGCACGGTGTACGACGTTCCGCTCCGCGCGCCGAGAGAGAGAGAAAGCATCTTCAGGAAATACTTCTTCGGCTCCTGAAGAAGCCTCCGACGGGTGGAGCGGTTCGTCGGACATCGCAGAGCTGCAGAGCACCACCCCGAGAAAACCCCACAGATGTAAAATGTATTTTTTTTATTTTCTTACCATTTCACTGTGAAGCCGTCACCCATCAGCTTCAAAAAGATCGCAGTCAACGCAATGGGTTTAAAAGAAAAACGTGACCATCAGGCCACGGCAGCATTTGTTGAACCTTGTCAATTGTCGTCACTGTAAAACCGAAGCATTGTCTGTGACTGCACTGAACACATGGCACAGACTCAAGCTTTAGTAAAGAGGGGACTTAGCGGGCTGTACCAACTAAAGGGTTTGTACGTGTAATCCTTCCCCGGACATTTCAGAGCCAATTTAATTATTGAAAGCAATACACAACCGCGGTGCCTACATCTTAGCGTGTGACATCATTGCTCAGAGACACAGCAGAAAATCCCAGTCAAGTGCTTCGCTTTTTATTTAATCAGTAACATACTGCACGCGGTTGCAACGCACCCCCCCCCCGCCCACCACGGCGAAATGGAACGCGCCATGGGAGGAACCAATCTACTTTGCCGAAGGGGCCAGACTGGTGGCACAAGCGGGGGTCAAGGGTCACGACCTCATTATCATCACAATGCCGCACGCCCGGCTATTTGTCACACGGCTCTGACCAAGTGGGGTAGATGGCCAGCCGCTCTTCCCCCCCCACCTTGCCCCAGGGATGGATCTCGACCCGTGAGCACCGCTTCACGGCTAAACTCGGGAGGAGCGTCCTAAAAAAATAACTATTTATCATCGCACGAATGTCAAATCGGGCGAGCGAACCTTGCCCTGCCTGTCGCACGACGTGACGGGAGAGCCGCTTGTCCGTCCCGTCCGTATTAAAATGCTGGCCGTGGACCGTTACCACGGAGACAGGAATGTACGGAGCCTGAGAAAGGACAATCGAGAAAGTGCGAGCGAAATTTTTCAGGAATTAATTCCGCACCAGTTGAGGTGAACACTGCGAGCTTTATCCGTGGTGACATGACGTATGAATGTCAACTTCTAAATATATATACGGTGGAGCGGTGGCGCAGCTATTAGCGGACTGCGCCACGGACGTGACGGTCCGAGGTCGATACCCAGCCACGGCTAACATCGGTGGTGAGCGATATCTGAACCAGTTCTGCGACCCCCACCCCGCCATTCCCAGAGCGGCTTCACTGGCAGGAGGTCATGGGGACAGCGCCAGATGTTGTGGCTTTACTGACAATGGTAGCTGTGCATAAAAAAAAATGGAGTGACAAAGACCCCCTGTAAAGCCTTCCAACACACCGTGAGTGGATGTTACGGTTAGCGAGCACCTGTTGTTAACGCTAGCATGGCCCACGAGGCATCTGGTGACCAACACCACTGCACCAGGTACTAATTTAAGGCCGAGTTAAGCTAGAGGAGGCCCAGGACCAGTTCAAATATGCGCCACTGTTGTTGGTCGTGAGCGGGAATCGCATTCGGGTCATCGTCGGCTTCGAGGCGCAGCGACGACCACGCCACAGCCGTGTGTGTCTCTTTGTCTTCTGTCGGCGTGCGGGTAAACCACGCTCACAAGCACGTCGGGGAGGCACAGCTACGCCGAGGAGGACTATTGGCCGCTTATTTATTCTGTTACTTGTTTTCTCCACAACGATGCTCGCGATTGGTTTGGGTTACAAAAAAATGTTACATTTGACTGAACCACAACGATCCCCGCTTCTCTGAACTCTCCCCCACGTCTTGGGCCTGGTCTCCCCGTGTCTGGCGGGGCTACGTTCCGGGCCGCAACACTGCCGCCTTGTTGTGTTCCTGTTATTTTATGTATATATATATACAGTGTTAATGTTCTTTGGTTTAATAGTGACTCACCCCGGTGCACTGGAATTCTACTTCGGAGCCATTTTTCATCTGCGCAGCTCCCCGGAGCGTGGCAGAACACCGACGGCCCGAGACGCGTTTCCTCATCCCCGGCCCCGCAGAGCGACGGAACGAACGCCGACAGGAAACAGCACCTTTTATTAAAAATCTAACGCTTCACCGGCACCGTCAGCTCCCGGAGCCCGCCGCTCATTCGTCATCATCGTCATCATCATCACCTCATCGGGGCCCGTGAGCTACGAGCGAAACCGGGTGCATGCAGAGCGGCGAGTCGGAAGCTCCCGAGATTTACGTGAAATTATTGCGGCGGGAAAGAAAAAATATATAACGACGATGATATTCCTGAAGAAGCTCCCAGCACGTGGAGTGGAACGTCGGACAACGGGCCGAACGACGGTGATTGGAGAGCAGCGGTGTCCTTTCTTTATCCAGGAAAAGCCTCCGAGTAGCATAGTTGTCTATGTACGGTGCGAAAGAAGTTCGACATATGTACATACAGAGGAGAGTGTGCTTCCAATTGGATAGTTGGACAATTGCAATAAAGAGCGTTTGGATTTGTTTGGGAGGAAAGTGGAGGACCCTGAATAACCCACCAGGCGTACGAGGAGGTGACACAGGTGGAGTCAAGAATCCATCGCTGTACTGTCATCTATTGGCCACCTTGCAGCCAAAGGCAACATTTTTCTAAGTCAAATTTTTTTTCACCGATGGGTCTGTGAGCATCCTGTGGGGGGGGTTTGTTGAGCAGGCGGAAAAAAAAAATCTCAAAATATTTAAAACATTTCATCTTTTGAAATGTTTTCATGGCTTGTTATTTTTGTAACATATTTTTCTTTAAAGGGGATTTTGTGGGTTGGGTTTTTTTTTTACATCTTTGTACTTTTTCGCAATTTTGTTTCAATTGTGCGATGGCCACCATGGCTATTAGATGGAGAACTGTACATTCACAACTCTCGCAGAGGGCAAGCGCATCACCCCGCGTGGGAGAACGGCCCACGGCAGGAGCTATCATAGAACTACTTCCGAGCTTCCTTCCTGCGACCCCTGCCACTCAGAAATGCCTGTCACACGGCGGTCAAACAAAGCGATTAAACTCCCAGAGCTGAAATTCTGCTGAGATCATCGTCTCACTACACTTGCGAACCCAGTTTTATTAGAAGCGACTAAAACATCCTGGATTCGATACTGGGCTATCGGCAGTTCCGGCTCAGCGTCTCGGACCCCTGAGCCAGCCAACAGCCATCGAGTGCCCCACACTTTGCCCCACCGCACGTCACCGACCGGTGGACTATCTGCGGGGTTCCCGAATTTACACTGTTGGGTGGATAGAGGTGGCGGCGGGGGGAGATTTGAAGAAACTTTCCCCATCGTTTCAACCGCCGCGCCGGGAGATCGAATCGAACCGCAAACTTCTCCGTGTCGCAGGTGCAGTGTGATCACCGTGACAACACCCGTGAGGTACGCAGCGCCCCCCCATTACTTGAGACTCGGTGAGGCTCTGACGAGGAGAATGGTGGAACCATCAGCCGCATCAGAGCACGGGCAGGCCCATCGGCACATCTCCTCCATCTATGGACAATTACAGCCGAGCCGCAGAAGTACGACTGTGGCCATGCAATTCAAACTGTGGACCGTATAGGAAACCACTGGACTTTGCGCTCCTTTAACGGAGGAGGAGGAACAGCGACACAACACAAACTCTCTCGCTCTGCTGAAGCCCTCTCATCATGGCCAGCAGCAGCAGCAGACCTCGACGTTAGCACCACATTGCTGCCACACACAAGAAGCGCAGCAGTGAGGCTTTCCTAGTCAAATAAAGGGCATTTAGTCTGAAATAAAGGACATGAGTAAATGTTGTGGCTTTGCTCTCCAACACACCGGTGTGTTGTACCAGTCACGAATTGGCACGTTCTGTTTACGTGACAAACTTTACTAATTGGCTGTGTCGGGTGGTGGCGGGTTAAACGACACATTTATAGTTGAGCGATTTAACCCAAAAAAAACTGTATTATGGATGATATTGGTCACGAAAGCCTACGTGTGAAAACTGGCATTAGTCTAATCATCATCATCATAATAATTATTGTTATGAAGCAGAGGTAGGGACGGGAGTCCCCCTCGATTACTAGCGGTGACTGCCGCCCGACGAAGTGAGGAGGAGGAGGCGGCGCACGCCCCGGCGCTAGCAGCCGCGTCGTTGCGTACACTCGGAAAAATGCACCCAATGAGCACAAACCCCCGGCGCTGATGTAACGAGCGCCATTCCAGAAACGTGGCAGTGGCGGCGGAGTAAGTCGGCAAGTTTAAAAACAATAAAAGTATTAAACTATTACAAAACGCAGGCAAGCCAAGCGTGCAGGATGAATGTTCACGTAGGAGTTGTTCATGCAGGAGCTGTTCATGCAAGAGCTGTTCATGCAGGAGTGAATGTTCATGGAGGAGTGAATGTTTATGCACGAGTTGCATTCGTTTGGGTTCGTGGGGGGCAGCCTCGCCTCTGGACTTATTCATTTATATGACCATTTACCCATCAACTATTTGCTTGCTTATGCACTTACAGTATTCCCAAGATTCTGAAGGCCTCAGTGGATAAAACAAAAAATGTGTGGGTGCCCAAAGATGTACTCATTTTGTTTAAAAAACAATCGTCAAAAGTACAGACTCGACTATGTTTGTGCCAAATTTCATCTTTCTAACCCTTCTGAAACATCATTAGAAATACATCGGTCACTCGCTAGTGACCGACTTTATATATTAGAAGATTAAAAATAGCGATGAGATCAGCTGTGGGTGTAGGAACTGGATGAATTATTGGCGAGTCGTTAAGACCTTGAAAAACGCTGACGGTTTGGAGTAGGCCTTGATCCAGAAGTAGATACATCATGACCGATGATAACGATGTTGACTAAAAGCTGTTTCAAATCCGAAGTTCAAGTTTCACTTCCTTAAAGCTGGCTAAAACTCTAAAATTAAACAAAACTATGTTTATTTTACCAGGTAAGGCCCACTGAGCTATATAGCTCTTTTTCAGAAGCGACCTAACCACAAATGATAGTTCAACAAAGTGGCTATCACGAGGAAATGTATAGCAGACAAATGCTCGAAATGCATGTCTCTAAATGTGGAGGGGAAAACGGAGGACCGGGAGAATAATACACGCGACCACGGGGAGAACATGCAAACTCTAAATATATCATCAGGGTCGGGATGGAACCCACAACCTCCTGTATACCAGGCGAGGTAGTTAACATCCTGCCACCTTAGCGCCCAGCTTAAGACATATGGGACAAACCGTCTCATTTGAAAGTGAACTTGGTCAAAAGTGAACTTGGAAAATACTGCCTCCATGCGGGTGCCCCAGATGTGCTTTCCTCCAGCACAC